TGGGATGGGAGAAAGAGAGAGAAACGGGGCTGGGCTGCTAGCTCCATTGCATGTGGCTCTTTCATACTGCATGTCAGCCTCACCCGATGCAGCCAGGCAGACCCTGTGCCCATGCTCCACGCTCCTGCCGCCCCACCCTGACTCCCTGCCTGTTCTAGGGCACCTGCATGGGCTCTGTGCCCACCCGCTGCCATCTTTTCCCTGCTTTCCCTCCGGCACACTTGCCCACCACTTTCCCTGCCGCTGCTGCTCCCTGTGGCCCGTGCTGCCCACTGCTGCCATGGCCTCTGCCATTTGCTGCTGCCACGGCTGCTCACCACAGCCCCCACTGCTCGCTGTGGCTTCTCACTGCACCCCTACTGCTCGCTGAGTGGGGGGGCTGGGTGGAGCCGGGCCAGCCTTGCTGCTCAGCCATGGGGTCCTGCTACAGGCTTCCTTTGGGTCCTGCTGCCGCTGTCTGCCTGTCATCTTTGACAGGCAGCCAGGGGCAGATAAAAATTAATTTTCTAAAATTTTTAGGAGCCCCGTGGGCCAAATAGAATGGCTGAATCCAGCCCATGGGCCATATTTTGCCTGTCCCTGGGCAAGGTGAAATCATAAGAGTTGCCAGTTATGTTCTGTTTGTTCTTACTGTCCTATCCAGTCTTGCAGCAATCTTACAGACTGCGTATTCTACCCAAAATGTCCTGCATTATTCTAGTACCTCTCATTAAATTTCTCCTGGCCTTCCTCATTGCACTCTGTAGATCCTCAGTCTTCTGCTACCCAGCTTGTACATCCTCTCTCTGGTCCTCCACTGAACTCTCCAGTCTCTTGGCCCTTTTACTCTAGCAGCCTCTGGCCCTCCAGAAGAAGCTGTCCCCAGTGTTCTCTGGCTGGGAGTTCCAGCTTCTTTGGAGACCAAACTGCAATTGCCTTGTTGTTTCCTAGCTCCCTTCTTAGGTAATGGAACTGGAAGTGGGTGAGGCTAGAGTCTTAAAGGGTCATGCACTCAGTACTATCCCAGCTCTTCAGTAATGGGGAAATGGGACCCCATTACAGTACAAATTTTAAATTGAAAACTTAGGCTGTGCAAAACCTTTTAGTATGCAAAAACATTATAATTCCCTTCCTAGCAGCACACTGACCGATGTGGGCACTGGGTTCTTCTACTAAGTAGAGGTGACCTACAGTAATGTCATGTGGAAATTGGGCTGCTTCATTAATCTTATTGAAATTTTCTAAATTTTGAATTTTTTTGATACATACCTAATCTGAAATCTTAATTTTTCTTTCCTAGCTTTGAACATATTTTTAAAATTCCCCAGTATCCAAGTACAGCAGTCCATGAGTTTTATGACATTTTTGGTTGATGCTAAGTTACAAATTATTTTGGGGGTGTTTTTTGCTATAGCTGTGTTAAAAAATATTGATTTACAATAGTTATCTTAAGGGAAGATTATATACTCTTTTCTCAGAGCGTGCCTGTGTACATATGCACATGCACATACAAAAACAACCACAGCATTTGCCACGGCGGCAGAGTCAACCACTCAAATATTAGGAAATACTAAAAGTGAAGTTGCCTATGCAACCCTTAGTCTGCTACCTTGTGTGTATGCATTATGCTGCAGTCTCCGATTACACAATAATAAACACTTTTCCCCAAAGCATCCATTCCTCATTCATTACACAGAATAGATGAGTGTGTATCATGACTGTGCAGTGAAGAAGGTCATTATCTGCATGGCCCCTGCCTCATTTATTGCAGAAGCTGGGTGATGTGCACTGAATGAGGAAGGGGATTTTAGGAAAAGAAGGGATAGTTTCATGTTTAAAGCAACAATGCCAATTAAATCAAGTTATGGAGATAGTGCAAATACATTCTGGCTAGTTCTAGGAGCTTTGAGGGAACATGGTGTGTTGACTTGGTATTGCAAAGTTTGGTCAGCACAAGCAACTGAGAGACTTGAGTATACTAAGTGAGGAGAGAATGTTGAATGTTTTATTGATAACATTATAAATATCTCTTCTAATCTATTTTTATTCCCCAAAATCTTATAATTTGGCTAAATTTGAGGAAGCTTTTCATGGGAATAGGAACAGGCACATTCCTGACACAACGGCCCTTTGGGTCCCTGTACCACAGCATAGGGTATCTAGAGCTGTTTAGAGAAAAGATCATCAGGGTTTTTTTCTTTAAGCATGGATACAATTAATTTTTTTCTAGCCTCATTTTCAGAGATGACTTAACCTTTTTGACTGAAATTCTCCAGAATTCATCACCTTGAGGTAGGTTCTCATCACATAAGATGTCAGCTCAAATGGTTAAAAAGCAGTGAAGTTATCAATAAATTGGGTATTACCATGGGTGGTGTCAGGAAATCTTAGTAATAGGCAGTGATACTAGCCCCCTCTCTAATAATACTCTGCGTCTTCATAGCACAAAAATAGCTGGGAAAACTGTGTTCAGACTTTTTCCTCAACATTTAGGCTAGATCTAAGCCTGGGAACATTTAGCCCAAAAGGCCAATATTTCAGAAAATATGTATATAAAAACAGGAACACTATAGAAAAAAAGCTATTATATATCTTTAAACATAGCCGGTAGAAAGCCATCATTATAATATGTAGGCTTTTTAAAAATAAAATATACAAGTTCTGGCCAAAAATTACCTGAATGTTATTCCTCTTTGTGGCTTGTCACACTTTGAAAATAAAATATATTATGGACCAGGCTGAAATTGACCGCAGATTTTTTGGCTAACATGGAGATACTGTGTTTTTTTCCCTTTCAGGTATCTCCTGAAACACATGAAAAACCATCAGCCAATAAACATCCATATGAAGCAACACCAGTTGAGCATCTTCTGGACTTAGTGGATAGATACTGGAATGGTTGTAAATCACTTCACTGCAATGAGAAATTTCTGTGTAAGAAAGAAATATATTGGGGATTTACATAATAGAAAATCACTATGTATTGGGATTCTGAAACTAGGATTTCCTCCTTTAACAGATTTAGTGTGTTCTCTGGTTTTGTGACTTTATACTGTAGAATTCACACCTTGAATAGCAGGTTATACATCTTGGCTTCTGAGTATGATAATCAGCAACCTCATGGAATCTTTTGCTCCTATTTAGATGATAATATGAACATGTATACGTTGGATTTTCTTTTAGGAATGTATTGAACATGGTAAACTGAGACGAATAAAGATAAAGTAGAGATAATGGTGGTCCTAGACAATTCAAAAAACTAAAATATGACACCTATAGCAAAAGTAAAACCTTGACACCTATAGCAACAGGTGTGGGGGAAAATGATTTTTGCTTATGGGACCCAATTCTGCAATAATTACTATGGTGAAATTTCAGATTATTACAATTGAAGACAGTAGAAGTTAGGGCTGTGTGATGCTTTGATTGCTGATTCAATTTGGCGGAGATTCAGCCTGGTCTGGTGGCTGAATCTTCGCATCGGAACTGAATCAGGAGACCTTTTAATCTCTCTGAATTGAATGGGAAACCTGTGAATCAGTACAGAGAGATTTGGAAAGATTTGATGATTTGGACACAAAGACAGCTTTAAATGTTTTTTCTATATACCTCAAGGTACCAGGCAGCTCACGAATGCTGAGATGGTGGGGCAGATGGAACATCCCATGGGAGCGTGGAGGGGTCCCCAGCATGCTTGGCAGGAGACCCAGAAGTGGACTTCTGGTCCAATTCTGGGTCTGCCGGGGAGTGCTCTGGGGGCACTTCCAGTCCAATTGGTACTTCTGGTCCAATTCTGGGTCTGCTGGGGAGTACTCTGGGGGCCCTCCCCGGCTCAGCAACTGGTGCCTCCTAGGTCTGGGAGGGTCCCCGGGATCCCCTCTGTGGCCAATCACTGAGCTGGGGGGGGGCCCTGCATGCTTGCCAGCAGACCTGGAAGTTGACCAGAAGCATTTCTGGTTCACTTCCGTGTTTCCCGCCAAGCACACGGGGGCAGGGGGGAGGGGGGCGGCATGGCATTCTCCTGTGGGACGCTCAATCTGCCTCAGCATCGCAGCGTTCACAAGCTGTGCCTGATACCTTGAGGTATATAGAAAAACCATTTGAAGTTGTGTCTACAGGCAAATTGCTGATCAGCCTTGAATCTTCAGATTCGGATTCAGCCGAATCGAATTGGGACAGTGATCCGAATCAATGAATTGAATCGCTGTCCCTGATTTGGGCCAAATCCAAATCAGATATGGCCCATTTCACATACCCCTAATTGAAGTCACTGACAATCAGTAACTCAGGATCTCATCTGTATAGTTATCACCAACTCAAGACATTAAATATTCTACTATGTATTTCCCTTACAGCTCAGGCAAGGCCTCTTTTGGGAGGAATGCAGAAATTTGCACCTACAGATCAATGCAAAGATTCTTCCACAATGCATCAAGAAATGACTAACCTGCTCTTAGATAAACAGGCTTTGCAAAATAATTTATCAGAGCAAAAGCAACGGCACAACATTAAGATTAGCAGTCTGACATCAGAACTGAGCAATGCTCAGAGAGAAAGGGTGAGTACAGTACTTTTCTTTTTTTCTAATTTTCTTCTTTTTTGATTCTGGGATGTACCTGAATGCAGCTGGAGGCCTTTAGTCTTTCTAAGGTAGCTGGTGCAATCACTATCTCACTAATCCAGTCAAGTCTGGGTTTGAATGTGATATATGAAAAGTACGACTTGATCTCTGTGGAACCTCTGTAGGCTGCAATTTGTCATCAGTAATCTCAAAAGCTGCTGAGGATTGGTTATGCATCACTGTTCTCAAAACAACCTTCTCCATCCCTTTTTCCAGTGATGGTGGCATTTCTCAGGTTCCTAAAGATTGCTTTGTTGTTCCAAATTTAAATAATACATTTAAATTTAAATAATAAATTTGTGGAGTCTCAGCACCAGTTCCTTGCCACCAGCCTTGTAGAGTTCAGCAGATATACCATTCAGTCCAGTACCCATGCCAGACTTCTTCTAGGTTAGGAGGATCAGCAAGACATCCCCTTTTAGGGTGTTGGTAGATGGACTTGGTGGTATCCATCATAGTCCACAAACAGTTCAGGAGTGCCTCAAAGTGCTTTTTCTGTCTAACTTGGCTGGATTAACTATCTTTGAGGAATATTCAGCCAGGATGCCATTAAAGGAAAGGACTATGGGAAGCTGGGCTGTAGATGGCTTTTGTTGCCTGGAAAAATCTACACATCATGTTTGTCAGCAAGGAGCTCGATCTCTTTGGCTTTATCTTGCCACCACTGATTTTTGATTTCCTGGATCTGCCTTTGAGCTTTGGCTTTGAGGAATTAATGTATCTCTTTCTTCTGCTGTAATCTTGCCAAGCAGAATAAGCCCTTCTGTTCTGGTCAAGGAGGGTTTAGATCTTAGTCTTGCTCTCATTGAATCAGTCTTGGTGTTGACAGATGGAATAGCCAGCGGATTTAGCACAGGCCATATGGATGGAGGTTTTGAACCCCTTCCAGAGTTCCTCAAATGTTGCCTTCATTTGTGGGCAGGACAGAAAGCTTTTCATGAAGACACTGTTGGAGATCCTTACAGACCTTCAGATCCTTACAGACCTTACATACATGTAAGGTGTATCTACACGTGCATTTATTCTGGCTTAAATTTTCTGCACAGTAAGTTACTGTGCAGTAAGCGGGAATAGGTTGACATCTACCCGTGCAGGCGCTTAAGTGCATTAATGCTGTGTATAGACCTACTTGGGACTAAAGCTAGTCCCAGGTCAGTCCCTACACACAGTTACTGTGCAGTAAGGCATCTACATGTGCATTACTGCATAGTAACTAATCAGGCATAAATTTGATACCTGCATGATGCAAGAATCAAATTTACCCTCAAGTTGGTGTACGTCGCCATATTTACTACAGAGTATGGGGCATGTATGTGTAGATGCACACCCGTACTGTGCAGTAATTTCGGTTACTGTGCAGTAAATGCGCACTTGTAGACATAATAGACACTCAATGGGCAACAACAATCACATAGAATGTTTACAGACATGGGAAAAAAACCCTGGCGTTTTATTTTCAGCTCAGTTCACCCCTACGTCAAGCACAGCGCATGGCCAGAAGAGGCATTGCATTAGTTTGACGCAGCTTACCCATCTGTATAACTTGGGCACTTCAGCGGGAATTTTGGTGTTTTTATCTAATAGCTGATTGAAAAATTTTGTGCTGGCAAATGCACACAAACCAGTTTGTCTTTGCTTGTCTTGTACTAGGTAAACAGCTTATACCAGCAACTTGTTCCTGTTGTTCAAATGAACTATAATTGTTGGCAGGACTAAGCTGTTACTCATTTTCAAATAATTGCTTCTTATATGTCTTTTTGTCTTACAAAATACATTGGCTATCTTTTGGAAGAATAAACCCACTTTTTATTCTCTTATTTCTAATATATGCTGTAGGATGCAAATCTATAAAATCATTGCATACTTAACAGTCGTCATGCTTAAACACCTTTTAATTTTGCATTTAACAGCTGCAGATAACATGATCTATATACCTGCCGAATTTCTTGTACTTCTGTATACTTAATATAGGGAATATAGCAAATACTGAAATGGGTCATGTAAAACACACACATCTTTAAATTTTAACCAGTATATGTACACATACTAGGTATCTCTCTCGGTATCCTAGATATTAGGTGTGATAAAGACCTTTCTTTATTTTCTCTCATCAGATATAACATTTAACTGAATTTGAATGGATTTTGAGATGAAGACATCATAAAACAGTATCAAGTGCTATGCTAAAATCCTTCCAGCTTTTAATTTTGTGATTCTATAAAAAAAAGAGCATGAGCAATTTTTCAGATTTTCAGCAAGTTTTTGCCTTGCTAAGAACTTAAAAGTAAGAATATCTCATAGAATATCTATGAGATATTCTTATTTTAAGTAATATCACACTTTTAAGAATATCAGAAGGATCTTTTGGTGTCAAAGCAAAACTACTGTCATTATGCATTCCTAAAAGTAAGAATATCTCATATTTTATATATAAATATATATAAAACCACCATTTCCCAAAGTGCTGAGCCAGATGCAGTGCAGATATCTAGTTCTATATAAGGTCATGTACATCTGGAGAATAATTACATTTGGCAAGAAGTTATGTCTCTTCTGTTTGGCCCTGAAAATACACAGTTACCAGCCATATTCGCTGGTGATAACTGCTTTATCTAGAATACATTTACTTCACAATTCTGTGAGGCTTGAAGCCTTGTAGAAAGTAGTAATCATTGTAGCCATGTGCATATGTACACAGAAGTCCATCTTGGTAAAGATAGACCATGGTTTATAATTACTGTAAGAGCTGTGAATACAGGCCTCTGCTCATACTAAGTGAGATATAAGATCCAGGAGTAATGGTTCTGGGCTTGCCCAAGTTCAGATCTCCTTTGATTCAATAATTGGCAGAACATTGATTTCTGGACCTTGTATGATTTTGACCTTCCAACTGTTTATCCCAGATGAATAAGAAGAATACATCATTTGTCAAGATCCTGACTTATTCCTTCATGGGCACTTGGTGGGTCTTCCCACTGTACTGCCAGGGACATTTGTAGTATTATTTTCAAGGCAACCCCCTGGAATAGTTAGTTTTCAGTTGAACCAAGTTACAGAAAACAAAGTAAATAAGAATTAACATATCTTTCATCTTCAGGGAAGATTGATACAGTTTTCCAGGGTACAAAAATGATACTGTGTTTTGATGTTCAAAGCATAATCTTGTTAGAGGCAACTTTTAGCAGTTTTCAATTGTTTTTGTGTATGCAGGGGGCTTAATTTATGCATTTTTTAAAATCTTATTAGAATATTCTGAAACAACGTTTAGATCAGTTGTTGGAAGAGAATGCTACATTAAAAGCTCGTCTGTTAAACATGGAACAAAATGTCAAAAATGCAGATGCTTCTACTTCATTACAGTTACAGCTTACAGGTGAGTTTCAAATACATTGTATAGTAACAGACAAACCCAGAGGCAAACCTAAAGTGTTGTTTACCTCTGAATGCCATCAGGATAATAATTTTCATTTAATTTATATACTTTAGCCCAACTTTGAAACCTTTACTAACATCAAATAGCATCCATACTCAGCAAAGTGATCCATGGCCATCAACAGGCTGTACTAAACTTAACAGTTAATTCCACTTGCTTGTCTGTTGTGGTTTGGTATACCAAAAACAGCCTAAAATTGTTTGGTATCAACCAGAATAATAGAATGACTTGTGAGTATGGATTCACGTCCATTGAATGCAACCTATTAATAAATTCCATTAATAGGTTAAGATACAGCTCATACTAGGAATTTTTAACTAGCTGACATGGCTCCCTGTAGTGACCCTAGCAATGTAGTCCCTGTATTCCTAGGCAAGAAAAGCAGTTCAGCCAACTCACAATTTTCATTTATGCACTTTTTTTGTGAGTCTCCTGATAGGGAATGCCAAGTGCCTGTGCTAGAATAAGACCTGATATGCAAGTTTCAACAATTTACATCCTTCTATATCAGATCCCAGAGTCTAGGATACAGTGGTAAAGAACAGCAATTATGTGGGAATCACCTCAATAGGTAACATGACCATTGCTCCTTACCAGACCCTGGGAAACAAGATACCCCTCAGTGAATACATTGATAAGCAAGCATGCCCAACTTCTGCATATGTGAACTCTACTGTCACTGAACATAACAACATCAACACAGTACCCTAGTACCCAGTTTCATTCTTCTTTCTTATACTTTCAGTGCAGAAGAATGGGTGATCTTTTCTATTTCTGTAATCATCAATGTCAGAATTTGTTTGGATAAATGTTTATAGAAAATAACTCAAACTGCAGAGATAGCAGATGCAGCATAAATCATTATTCAAATATAAACTGCACAAACAGTGCCATTAAACATCAGCCTCTGCATAGAAAGGCATTTTCAGAGTTAGGACAGTAGTAGTTGCCTGCAGCAGGATCATAGAAATAACAGGTATAGATGCCCTGTTAGATCACCTAGCCCCTCCTTCCTCATCAGGCAGGAGTGTTGTCTACAGTATATTTTCCATTGCTTTGTCCAGTGTAGTGTTATGGGATGCATTTCCCATCACGTGAAGTTCACTAAGTTTCCCAATGCTCATTTCAGTGTAGAAAACATTTGTCATCACCAATGAGAGCTGTCCACCAACCATTTTTAAATAAATCAAATGCTGTATATTGTCCCTCTTAGATTTTTTTTCTACTTACATTTCCAGTCTTTAAATGGTGAACGGAGTCCTTTTTTACTATGAGGCTTTGCCTTGTTGAACCTCAGTATTTTTCAAAAAGCTTCTCCTGCTTTTGCACCTGGATACTTTTACTTTTGTTAGTTTCAATACCAAGGAGTATAAAAGCATTACTTATATGAAAGTTATATGTATAATCTCCCTCCTCAAAACAATAAGAGAGCTAATATAGAAGGCTTTTCAGTGTACTCCATTTAGTATAATTCTGGTAGGTGGCATTGTCTTAAAAACACAAAAGGTTTACTGTCTGGGACCAGCCAGACTGCATTTGGCCATGGATAGACATACATTTTCATAACACCAGCGCTTTGAAGTGCTACAAAAATGTAGCTATATGAGAAGCAGACAGACTTGCAGAACCCCCCTTTTCCAGTCTGAAGTTGCCACAAAGGGATTTAACAATGTAGTCTCCAGCCAGGAGGGAAGAGAAGGTTGCTCTGGCCTGTGGCTCTGCTCCCTACCCACAATCCACCAGAGGAGGGGAGCCTGTCGGTGAGCCCACTCATTGACAGCTTGCCACCACCCACAAGGTGTGATGAACAGAGCTGCAGCCCCTCAGATTAAGCTCTAATGAGTGTGGGAGTGTGACTGGGCTTGCCCACAGTGAGCAGAGCTGCAACCCTCGGTCTCAGACAAGTACAGCTCTGCTCGCTGAAGGCCAGTCCAGGCCTGGTCCTGCACTCGCTGCCAGCCTGGGCGTGAAGGTGGTGGAGAGGGAGGAGGGCCTATGCAGGCTGCATGCAGTATGTGTCTACTTGCTCTGTTTCCTTCCCAACTTGGAGGAGAAGGGGAATACTGTGGGATACTGGGAGATGGATAGACCCTCCAGCACTGTTGTGCACTGAATGGACATTATATTTTTTACTACAAAACAATGTTACAGAGAAGTTCCTGTTTCATTGAGGAACGTTTTTGTAGCATTTGCTCCATTTGTTGCGGTGCTACAGGGGGACTGAATGCCCCCTTGACTTTGGTGGCACAACAGTGTATTTAATGATACAAATGTAGTATCTGGGGGTGGCCTTTATCTGTAAAACAGAGGATCTTCCATAAATCAGGTTCCTTATCTCAAGATATAAACTTTAAAATATTGTTTTTTGATCCTCTTTTTTCCCCACTTTGCCCAATATAATACTTCACATTGTCATCTTGGAGCCCTAAGATGCTGGAGTGCTGACCCAAAGGCATTACCTTAACTGAGGAAAATAAATTTATGAGATGTTCATAATGCTTATAAAATATCACACTATATTAATATATTGTAACTATATTACATCGTATACTTACATGGCATCTTTCAACCTGGAGGATCCCAAAGCACTTTACCAATTTAACAGGCTTGACTTAGATGAACCAACTCATCCATTGTTCCATATCTCTGCAGTGAAGGGCAGTCTTCTACACTTGACCTTAGTCAAAAGGCCAAGATGTGTTAACCAAAAGTTTTAAAATAAAGACATAGGACTGGAAGGAGCCACCTTCAAGTGATGGAATCCTGTCCCCCATGTTCACAGGCGACCTTTTACCCAAGGATTTCCCAAAATTACCACTTCAGACCGTTACACACAAGTAGAAGGCACAAAACTAGAAACACAAACACCATGGTAAAAACAAGGGAGATGAAGGCACTGCCAATGCCCTGTCATTGCTGTAAGAGAAAGTTAATTGGTTAATGTTAAAGCAGGAGAGTTTCTTTTTCAGTTGAAAGTGTAGGAGTACATTTAAAAGAAAAATATATGCAACTGAGTAGAAAGTGAGATCAATGGAAAAACTATCATTGGTCATATTATTGAGGCCTTTGAAGACTCTTGTGGGATCTTTAATTGGTATAAAAGGTCTAGATCTCAATGTTCACTTTTATCCAAAAGATGATTAATCTGTCATTTATTCTATGGTGGGATATCACACTGAGGTGGCCTTCATGCCAGATTCAAACCGCGTGGCTCCTCTCATGCCAGATCTGGGCCCACTCTGGCAGCAGGGAGGTTGTAGGAGCTAATATAGTCATCACTTATACTGCCACCACCAAAATGCATTCCTAAAAGGATTCCGTACCTTGGATTTCTGTGGCAGACCCACCCCTGAATTCCTGGCCACTCCAGGAGCATTGCATGGCATTGACTGCAGTCTCGCCTGCAAGCCTCATCTTTAACACCTTTGCTATTTTACTATATTTATTTCTTATTTCTATTTAGCTTAACTGTGCATTGTTACATTATGGCCTTTTTAAGATGCATTCTCTCTCTTTCAGAACTGCAAAGTCATAATAAACAATTAACAAATGAAAATGTCATCCTAAAAGAGCGTCTACAACAGCATGATAAGATTCAGCAGCTCATAGAGATGTTACAGGAAAGTCACAGGTAAAGTGTAAGTCCTGGCCAGAAAGAAACCTAGATCTCTTCTTTATCATATATTGAAAGTTTAAATTAATTGTCTTATGATATGCTCTTTTGGGAAATCTTTGTGTATATCTTAAGAATTCTGGTTGATATTGTGAAATGAGCATGTAGTTGTTGTTGCTATGGAAAGGACTGCGGTTTGAATGGCTCTGTCAGCATGGATTCACCATCCTGTCAAAGCCCCTGTCACATATCCATGAGCCTAGAGGACAATAAAGAATGCTTTACAGACAGGGCTTTAGCCAGCAATGGATATGCTCAAGATATGGTTTTGACTGAGAGAGATGGTTGATTTTTTTTCTCTCAGGAGAAAAAAAAAAGGGGAAGAGATTTATAGCAAATGAAGGGACTGGCTTAGGTGTAGAACCAATCAAAATCAGATAAGATAAATAATAAACTGACTACCTGAAGATAAGAATTAGGGTTGAACAGGGGACAGGCAGTCAATCTTAGTGGCTCAGGCTGTCACAGATTTACTGGAGTGGAAGCTAATATGAAAGCCAGATATCAGTCTAAATTTCAGAATGCCAGGCTAAGGGTCAAGATGAGGTCATGGTCAGGAGAAGCAATTAACTGATGCCAGGAAAGCCTACGCAGGAAAATCCAAGACAGTCACACACAACAATACTATTGTTGGCACAGATCTCTGCAGAAAGTGGGAGGATTTTATAGCCCTTGAATCAAGGGTTTATGACTTCCGTTGATCTGCCCAGATCCCACTGGTCCCCCATTCCCTCTTCAGCTATACAGAGGATTATGCATCAGCAGAAGGCCCAGGCTGGGCAAGAACAGGCATTTAGCTCTCTGATGGTGCTGTGCATGAGCTTCCACCTGTGTGTATAGAAGGTCCAGGTTTGAATTCTGTGGGTCATGACACTAACCAAACCCTGCTCTCTTACCCTCAAGGGGGAGGGCAAGCTAGATGTTCGGTATTGTATCCAGAAAGTTGTTTTTTAAGTAACTGTATCTCCTGTATCTTATGTTTTAAGTAAAAATTAATTGCAGATTCAGAAACTCTGTGGAAAGCCTGTCTAACTAGGTCCACTTGCTTACGTTTTATATGTGGTTCATAAAGTGTTAAACTCCAAATCAGAAGTCTCATCCCTTTGATGGGATTCTAGGAAAGAGTATGTGTATGCGGCATAAAGATTTTAGGATTCAAGACTAGCCCCTGGGCATTTGAGCCAACTTCAGGAGATGATACTAATCAGGGGTGGACAATTATGTGGGCCTGGGGGCTCTATAGGGAGTTTTGATGAGTTGTTAAGGGCTGGGTCAGAACCACCCCCCCCCACTGCAGCAACTCACCAAAACTCCCTATGTGGGATGGGGCTGCAGGCAGGCAGGGAGTTCAGGAGTGAGAAGGGCAGCTGGGTCAGCCCCTGCCCAGTGGGAGGTGTGTGAGGGTGCAGGTACAGCAGGTGTGAGCACATGTGGGGGGGAAGGTGCTGCTGCCTGGGCGGTAGGTTCAAGGAGCTGGCCAAGGGGGCAAATGCAACAGAGCATCCCCAGGCAGTGCGGGCTGTGGTTGCCCCTGTGGTGCTCTGCATGGGGCCAAGCCCCACCCAAGGAAGCCTGAGCTGCAATCCAGCCTGTTCCTCCTGGGCCAGGCCTGGCCAGCATTCACAGCTTCCAGCGGGGCGGCTCCTGGTGCAGCTACTGCTTGGCTCCCCTCAGTTCCCCTGGCCTCCAGCGGTGGCTCCTCCTGCTGCTGCTGCACCGCTCCGGGCTGGGAGGAAGCTTCAGTGTGCAGGGCCTTGGCTCTAGCTCCTGGCTACCTTCCACCCACTGCACCTACCTGGTGTGAGCTGCCTAGTGGGTAGAAGGCAGCCAGGAGCCAGAGCCTCACCCACTAGAGCAGGAGCCACCCAGCTGTCTTCCACCCACTCAGCCTCCTGTGCCAGGTACGCAGAGTGGGTGGGAAGGCAGCCAGGAGCTGGATCCAGATCCATGCATGCTGGGAAAGGAGCCCCACCCAGCTGAAGCTTCCTCCCAGCCCAGAGTGGCACAGCAGGAACAGGAAGAGGAGCCACCAGTAGAGGCAAGGGGAGCCAACCAGAAGCTACGCTAGGAACAGTCCCACTGGAAGCTGTGTGCACTGGCTCGGGCCGGACCAGTGGGTGTGGGCTGGAACACAGGATGGGCTTCCCCAGGCAAGGCTCAGCCCCATGCAGGGGCAGCCACAGCCCGCACAGCTTGGGCAAGCTCTGCTGCATGTGCCCCCTGCCCCCTCCTCCTTCCTCTCATCACCAGCTGGCTCCAGGGACCTAGGGTCCAGGCAGAGCCCTTCTCCCCCAGTGAACAGATATTATATTTTGCACTACAAAACAACATTACAGAGAAGTTCCTGTTTCATGGAAAAACATTTTTGTAGTATTTGCTTCATTTTTGTGCTACAGGAGGCATAAGTGTCCCTTTGACTTCTGTAGCACAACAGTGTATTTAATGGTACATATGTAGTATTTGTCTGTGGCCTTTATTTGTAAAATAGAGATCTTCCATCAATCCGGCTTCCCTTCTCAGGATATAAACTTTAAAATATTGTTTCTTGATCCCCCTTTTTTCCCCACTTTGCCCAATATAATGCTTCACGTTGTCATCTCAGAGCCCTAAGATGCTGGGGTACTGACCCAAAGGCATTACCTTAACAGGGGAAAATAAATTTATGAGATGCTCATAATTCTTATAATATATCACACTATATTAATATATTGTAAATATATTACATCGTATACTTACATGGCATCTTTCAACCCAGAGGATTCCAAAGCATTTTACAAACTTAACAAGTTTGACTTCAGTTGAACCAACTCATCCATTGTACCATCTCTGCAGTGAAGGGCAGTCTTCAGTCCTACACTTGATTTTAACTAAGTAGATGGAAGGCAGCCTGGAGTTGCATGCTGAGGCAGGAGCTGCCCAGCTGAAGCTCCTGGCTGCCTTCCAGTCACTCACTGCCCACATTGGGCAGGTGGAGTGGGTAGAAGGCAGCCGGGAGCTGGATCCAGAGCCCCATGTGCTGGGGCAGGAGCTGCCCAGTTGATGCTTGCTCCCAGCCTGGAGTGGCACAGCAGGAGCAAGAGGAGCTGCTGTTAGAGGCAAGGGGAGCCAAGCAGCAGCCCCACTGAAAGCAGCCCCACTGGAAGGTGTGCATGCTGGCCATGGCTGGGCTGGAGGGTTTGGCCTGGAGCATGACATGGGCTGCCCTGGGTGGGGTTTGGCCCTAAACGTAGCGCTGCAGAGGCAGCCATGTGCCAAATCTAATCAGTTGGCAAGTGGCCCCTCATGGGCTGGAACCAATCAGTTGGTGGGCTGAATTCAGTCCATGGTCCGTATTTTGCCCACCCCATACTAGATAGTAAGTCTGTACTTGTGAATGTCCTGAAAACTCTCAGGCAGAGCAAGAATCTGGACTCTGTGCAGGTTCTGGTTTTCCTGAAAGCAGGATGCCAAGTGGCCAACAGAGACCACTCAGCTAGGTGCTGTCACAGGTTTTACCAGTTTTTCAGTTAAGTGTTTACTACTAGTGGAAAATACTCATCAGATTTACAATGTATAAATAGTAGATCTTTACATTTCTGTTTTTTAATGAATGTAATGGGAATTTTGTTAGCTGATCATTTGCCCATTGATCTACAGTCTTTTTAAGGTGGCAAAGGGACTCAGGACATTGCTTAGCAACAGATCTTTTTAGCCATCCCCCTGCCTTTCTGTGACACTGTAAACTGGCATCAAGATTTAGCTTCCCTTTTCCCCCAGCTTTAAACTGAACATGCTCACACACTGTTGCAGCTTGGATAACTTACCATCCTTACGGTAGCTGCATGACATCTTTTCTGCTCCACAATCCAGGGAGGTAACAAGCAGCTACAAATTGAGAAGGAAAGAAGAAAGAGACACAGGGCCCGAATTTTCCACGTTTCCTCAGTTTAACACCAGCATAACACAATATTTTAATGCAAGTGTAGCCTCTGCAGCATTAGGCTGAATTGGGCCCAGAGAATGTAGAATTTCAACCCGTATGAATAGCAGGACTTTGGGCCTATGTAACAGCCACTAACTGAAGTACCTTCCTGGACAGAATTTCCAAATGGTCTGTCTTGAAATGATTTACAGAGGTGAAGGGGAATGACGTTGCTGCTTTTTAGATTTCTCTGAATACACACCTCCTGGAAAAAGAAAACCAAACATTGCTTTTACTTAAAGCCACTAACTAAAAAGAAGAAATTAAGGTTGGCTCTGCTGATGAAAGCAAGAGAAAGAAATATCTGAGCAAATGGGTTGCTAAGCAACATTTTGGGAACCCCCTGTTCCATTTTGGAGAGGAGACTGCTTTTTTCTGCAGGCTAGGTGGAGGTGTTAAAAGAGAATATAGACATATTTTTAAAAAGCATAAATATTTTAATTTACCATTGCTTGAGTGTTAATATTTTAAAGCACAGTGACTTGCACTGGTTCTTTTCCTTAGTAAATAAGAGTGCTTGTGTTAGGTTGTTGGAAATAGAAGCTGAAGTACTCTGTTACCTTGCAGAATAGATATTAAGGGCATTTTTACACATGCTCAGTGAGAGCGGGGGTGCTTTAATTAGAGTGGCTCTAATTAAAACACCTGTAGCATCTCGTGTATCAGTGTCCCTGTGCTTCAAAATGTTGGTGGGAGCGCTTTAGCTGAAGCTTGTCGAACGAGCTGTAGTTAAAAGCACTCCCTCCATCATTTTGAAGCATGGGGACGCTGATACATGAGATGCAGAGGCTTCTGGAGCATGCTGATTGGCACGCTCCTGCACACTCAATTAATCGAGTCTTCTCTGACTCACTGTGATTACATGTCAGAGCAGCTTCCTCACATGTCTACAGGCACCCTAAGATTCTGGTATTGCAAGCTTCCACCCATGGTGCACTGCTAATGTTTAATAATAGTACCCACGACACTGAGTGGCTGAATTTATAAACTGAATAAAGAAGTTTGAGCCAAATGACTACCTATTTAAACTTCCATAAGGAAGATCAGTCTTCATGCACATTTAAGCTTGCCTTTTCTTCTAAAAGCAGGCAAGTGCTGAGTATTGTTAGAATTTTTTTTAGGTTTTGTCACTTGAGCTGAACAGTTAATTCCATGCATAATAGGCTGTCCATCTAGTGGTAGTAGCTTTCAATTACTGATTGCCTTGGGGCTGAGCTGAACCAGTAACAGACAGTGCAGCAGAAATCCAAAAAGCTCTAATGGAAACACCTCATTGAAACCCACCAGGAACAGCATACGCACATCTACACATGCACTTTAATGCACATTAACCTATTTTAATACACATAAAGCGGCACTGAAAAAAGTGGGTATTTTTATACATGTAAGCATCGCAGTACCGGGCACTTTGAAAAGCGCCTGGCACTGCATCGCTTGCAGGTGTATAAGTGGCAAAATGCATGTCAGCACTGAGCAAATGGCAGTGTGCTTTTGAACTAAAATGCATGGAAGGTGCTTTAGTTCAAAAGCGCACTACCATTTTCTGCATGCTGATGCGCATTTTGCCGCTTATACAACTGCACGCGGCACAGCGCACGTCAGATTGCATGTAGAGCAAATTCTATTAATCAAGTCTGCTCCAAAGTGGCGGCTCTCCGGCATATCGCAGGATGAAAAGGTATGTATATAAACGCCCAGTGTTATTTAGTTAATGGGGCATTAAAATAAACTAATGCACATTAAGCATCACTAAAAACTGTGCTTTTTAGTTAATGCTTATTAAGACAGGCTAATTTGCATTTTCCTGGTATCTCAGAATGGAGGTTCTAGATTTAATGCACATTAACTGAAGTGCATTGATGTACATGTAGACTGCCTTTTATTTGCACAAATGCTCCTTTCCAAAGCTCCCTATAGTCAATGGAGGTCTTAATATGGACTTCAGTTGGCTTTGAATCAGACCCAGGAGTGCTTCAAAGCATGCCCCTAAACCCAGCTCTCACCTCTACTGCATGTTGTCATGACTGCATTCTCATAAAGTTCACAGAGTAAATGGTGAGAGTTGCTTTGCTTCTGTTGGTGCATTGTAACAAGCTGTTGGCACACCTGTGAAATTGCTGGGAAGTTTAATGGGGTGCAGGGGGGTACATCCTTCTTTGTATACTAATGGCATATACTCCACTGAATCTGTTATGTCCAACTCGGGTTATATTGCAGTTCATTAACTGAGGTACTGACCATTTAAGACTGGGGCTTGAGTAACTTGATTGCCAGCCAGGAATGAAGTAAAGAGGGGGGTTGGAGTTAGTTTCACTTTGCAGTGTCCACCTGTTTCTTAGTTACATTTGAGGGACAGTGGGCACTGGCCAGTGTTCTCTGCTCGATGTCATCCCTCAGAACCCTTATTATTACAGGAGACCCTCGCCATTCATGGGGGATATATTCTGGAGATTCCCGTGCATGGTGAAACCCGCGAATACGGCACTGCATTGATGAACGCTTTCTGCGTTCGTGAATGGCATGTGCCCCCGGCAGCAGGGGTAGGGCACAGCTGTGCTGGCGATGGCAGGAGTCCAGCAGCAGGAGCCTGGCGGCAGCAAGCACAAAACTACCGAGGGTTTCCTGTAAGTGTATTTAAGATGCAGGTTCGGCATTCATGCTGTAACAAGGTAAATATTCGCGGTGCGTGGGGAATATTCAGCGCACCATGAACATTTGAAAATGCCAATGCTGAACCTGCAGATAGCAAGGGTTTCCTGTAGTCTCTGAAGTCCAGCAAGATAGAAGGTCTTTGTCCTATCCAGGTGTCAGATCCCTTAGGTGCTGGAGGTCCTTTGTCCTCACTGGGAATACTAACCTATCCACTGGGGCTGGTCAAAGAATTCAGTCCCACCCACTCTTCCAGCTCAGGAACCTGTATGAAGCAGCTGGAATTCTTCCCATTTCTAATCCCAGCCCCTTTCTGCTTCCATGCGCTGGTTCCCACCTTACCTCTCATAGGCTGTTTCTCCTCCCCGGCCTGCGCTCCTCTTGCCCACATATCAGGGCAGTTCTAAAATCCTGCTGCCAAAGGAGACATTTTTCAGAGAGCATTGCACTTAGTTTGAAACCTTGCCTTCACAGATCATGATGAGTCTGCAGTTGGTCTCAGCTGTAGACTTGCATCTGGAGGGGGAAGGGGAGGGGCAAGGAAGGGCAAGTGGTGGGGAAATCGGACAGCAGGAGACAAGGATGAGGCCTGGAGTAAATGCTGAAAGCATTCCTCAGTCTGCTCTGCACAGAGGACTAGCCCAGTGGTTCTTGTGTCAACTTTCACTCCAGCACAGAGATCCTTAGTCTTGGCTACTCCTAGGTGTGATGAGTCACAGGCTTGGGCACTGTCCCTGCTCCCTGACATGGCACCAGTATCTCATTGACTAACCTCAATTTACATCTATTATGGTACCAAGCAACTTCACGATGCCCATGAAACTGAAAACCCTGGCTCCCATCCACATTTCACCTCCAAAAGGATTTGAAAATTCTTAGCCAGCCACCTGAGCCTTCTCTGGTAATGAAGGAATTTCAGTGTCCTAGTACAACAATCTAAAATAGGCCAGCTCTCAGAATCATTTTGCATACAAACTAATATTAAAGACAATATATCTGACAGAATATATTCATGCCAGATGGATCATGGTCTCCAGGAGGCTCACTGGTAAGAGCTAGAGCAACAAAGTCAGTGGCCAAGAGCTAATGCAGTACCAGTCAGCAGTTGTCAAAGCTAAACTTACAAGTCTCAAACTTACCAGGAAAGGATTTCATCTTCACAATAGGAAGTTATACAACAGAGAAGCCAAGGTATTTGCTTCTTCCTCCAATAATGTGCAAAGAAGCTGTGACGAGACAAAAGTTCCTTTCATTCTGAACTACTGGAGAGACAACGGAAGAAAGTTTCACAAACTCCAGGGCAAGATAGGAAACAGAGCATCAGAAAGGAGGTCACATTTGGGCCTTACCTGTTCTTCCAGTCCACATACAGAGTTGTTACCTTTCCTGGAGCCCACCTGAGAAGTTTTCTTGGCAACATTTTGTATGTTCAACAGTTTTGTATGTTCTTTTTAAAATGCATTCAGCCTACTAGAAGGAAATATGTGTTTCCCTCATTTATATCATTATTTATCTGTTTGCACATAAGAAGGACAAATTAAACTTCTTTATTGTGTTTTGTGCTTCAATAAGCTGCAGTCTCCTACTCTATTTGAGGTGAAATCTGTGCCTCATTTTTAGAGCACTGTGATAAGTTTAAAAATTTTTTTTGCCAAATTGCGAACTTTATTTTTCTGCATGACTTATAATTCTTAGGATCAATGTCAGTAAATCCCTGAGACAGCTATTTCTCACTCAGAACACTTCAAATAAAGACTGCTATAGGTATTCTCCTTTTAACTAAGTCTGGCAATGGGCCAAAATTGGGGCAAAAACCTCAGTCAGGATTGGATAGGGTAGATTGGATTTTTTATCTGAAAAAAAAGCCTAGCTTTGGTTTGGAAGAGTGAAAACCTTGCTTTTGTACCTCTCTACAAGGTACCATGATACCTCTAAAAGGAGGAAGGGCTACAAAAGAACAACAAGATGACATGATACATGTAATACATCCATATGATAGCAATCCATTATATGAGGATCTCAAAATCAACACAACAGATAACTATGGCTGTTGACAGATGAATGGGGGGAAAAAACCCCATGCTTTACCAAAAGAAGCAGCACATTCATTTGACCCAGCTCTGCAGCATCTGTATAGATGGGGCACTTCAGCAGGGCTTTTGGCACTTACAGCTAAAGCTGATTCAATTAGCTATTAGATAAAAGTGCCAAAAAAGCCCTGCTAAAGCACTTGATCCATACAGATGTTGGGCAAGCGAGGTCCAACTAACGTGATGCCTCTTTTGGGCATGTGCTGAGCTTGGTGTGGGAGTGAGTGGTATTTAAAGTAAAGCACTGGGTTTTTGGTTTTTTTACATTTGTAAGAAGCTTGTCTTGTGGTTTCAGTAGCTAAAAACTAATGCCTAACATCATTTGTACACTATCTAAGGATGTTGTTCAATGAGGTACAGTGGTTTTGTGGGGAGGCCACTTGTACTTGAAAAGTACTAATGTGGTAACAGGAAAAAGCTTTCCAGTAAGTAATATTTGTTATAAAATACTTGCGTTTGTCTTTAACATCTGCCTTCTTTTACTCGTTCAAAGCAAAGAGGTTGGTTTATAATAGTTTGATAAGGCAAGGACAAAAAAATACTGGAAAGAAAATGTGAAAAGAAATAAAAACACTATGTTAAAGCTGTTGAAATAATATGCAAAATTAGTTCTTTGGATTGATTTTTTGCAGAACTTTGGTTTCTACTAATGAACATCTCCTACAAGAATTGGCAGAGATACGTATACAACACAAGTCTGAAGTCGAACAGCTACACTGGAGCTACAATCAGCTAAAAAAAACAATGGATAAATTTCCTCATAGCAACACAGACAACAACAGGTGCTAGTGACAATACAAGGAAGTTTGTTGTAAATGATTTATAAGAGGTGACACCCATGAGTGCATTTAATTGTGTAAAGCAAACATTTGCAACTACCATTACAGACTGTGGTACCTTCCCTTTTCATTTTTTCCCCCAATTTATGTATTGGTTTTAAAAACATTCTTCAGTAGAGGCTTCCCCAGAACATTTTGTTTTGACTGGTTTGGTTTACAGAAGCATGGTTGTGCATAATGACACGTTGCAGGTTGAAACCAGTTCTGGTTGAGCCCTTTCAGTCCAGTAACCAGGCTACCAAAAGCAAAGAGTGCTTGCAAAATTAGCATTTCTCCTTTGAAATACGGACCCAAAATGCCAGTGGCCAAGTTAATTTAGGAGTATGCATCTAAGGGATTTTATAAAAATAATTGTAATATAAGTTGGAAGATAGCATTAATATGTACTTCGGCACTAGGTACAGTTGCACAGATTGTCAGCTGTGACATCAAACATGGTTTAAAGGGAAGAGAAACTTCTGAGCTGCTAAGGAAGCAACAACTGCTTGCAGCATGCTCTTTCAGTTCTGCTGCTTGGGATGAGCACTTGTAACAAGAAGTGAAAATTTACAAAGAGTTATCTGTAGTGGTCCTTAGCCTAGGTATGATAGGTCAGTAACTTTGCTATTTATTCTGTTTTAAACAGCATGGTCAAACCTTTTCCCTATAACTTTTTTGTGTCGGCCTCAAAAGTCAGTATTGTCCATGATTTGCATTTTACTTTATGCTGCATAAAAGCTGGATAAGGGAGTTACAGCGGGCAAGGACAGACAGCATGGTGGAAGACAGTTTTCCATTGTTGTGGCATTTATTAGACATCGTAATAAGCCTGGCTTCTGTAGCTATCATTGATGAAGGCACTGACCAGCTCTCAGCATCAGTAATCCGCATCCATCTCCCTGATACAGCTGCAGGAGAAAATCTATCCCCGTGTCAGGATGCTGTTCTGTCATGTTGGTATGTATCCCAAAACATCTCTCGATGATTGCACGGTGAACCTTTATTGCAACACCCTAAAATAGAGAAAACCTAAAAATAAAGTGGTACTTCATGAGCTCCTGCATATAACTACATATCTATGCCCAGGATGCGTACATTTTAGACCACCTCATCTTCATGGGCTTCTAATCAGTTGAAAAGTTTGAGGTTGCATGTGTGTGCGTGTGTGTGTGCGCAATGGGGTGTTTTGTTTTCTTTGTATTTTTCAATCCAAAATTTTGTAAGAGGGTTCACTCACTTTCACCTTTCATGGGTTTGACTGAAGGAGGAAAGATGTATCATGAAATGATGTTGGAAATTAAAATAAAAACAGACTTCTGTCAGAATACATGTTGGCAAAAATTAACCCTGGATGTGACTATTATTGAGTGGAATTGTCTCCATTGCACTGTACTTTATTTGTAAAAGGAAGAAGGAGGGAGATCTAAAAAGAAAAACAATCAGTAACTGCTTTAAAAACTGTTTTATATTAGTCAAGATATTTTTCCATCAGTAAATCTAGTGGCAGCTCAACTTGTCATACCAAGGCTAAACAGTCTTGTCTGATTTTTGATTTTATGTAGCAGCTGTTTTCAGAAATATAAATGAATCAGGCCTAATCTGTTTTTGTGAATCTAATCTAATTCAGTTTTTCTGAAGTTTTTTTTCTTGTTTTTTTCCTAATAAATTCAGATTATTTGATCTTACTTGCTAATTGCTGAATTCGAAATCAGAAAGCAAATGTCACTTTTCCTGACAGCCATTTTTCAAGTAAAAAGCATTACAATTTCATATTTAACTTTAAACAGTGAAGGGTTATTTTAGTTAGAGCATTCAAAAAACAATGTCAGACTTACCCAAGACATTGTTTTCAATGTGGGCACGAGCTTTTGACACCTTTGAAGAATACTTGTTTGTGTACTGTTTGTATATTATAGAGTAATAAGGCATAATCATTTTGAATAATGTACAGCTATCTCCATGTACAGATGCCCCGAATGCAGCCATATAGGTCTCTTTGGAATCTTACAAATAAACTTTTAGTTTTGTTTACTAAAATATATATTTACTCTTTTCTACTGATGGCAGTCCATTAGCAAGCAAAGCCTCACAAATCACATGCATCATGTGGGCTGTCACTGATTCATGACTGGAAAAATTAAGTTTGAATGGGACAGTTTGAATGGGACAGGTTAGATTGTATTGGGCAACTTTTTAAACTACAGTGACAGAAGGAAAACAGGTTGATACAAGGAAGACTCTGTAATTTGGGAAGAGGTTCTTTCCCCTCTCAATTGATCCAAGGAGTACTTCTGAAAGCAAACATATATTTCTAAACCAAAGTCCTGCCACTTTACTGTCACCATATATCATCATAGATGCTTTAGTTGTTTGCCCCAGCATTCTGGCTACGCATCCATTTGAGTAACTGTCCGTTCTGTCTTCCAGGACTGTTGATTACAATAATCTGCACTTACCCTCCTAAACTGAGATGGAGTTTTGCTGTGCACTGCTTTATCCTGCCACAGACCCATTTCAATTCTGATTTATCAAAATGCATGGTGCTGTACAAATGTTAAGACCCTGTGTACAGAAAATGAAAGCAGATCATCACCTTTTCTTCTTCGTACAAATTTGTACCTTCCGGGACATGTATACCTTGAATTTAAAATAAAGGAATTCCCTTTTACAATGAAGACAGCATGGAGAACAGGGTTCTAAGAAAAAAATGTATGCACATTGGTAAGAAATGACCAAAATCCCAATTTTCAAAGTTCCTGATGATCTTTACTCTTAAAAAGAGCAAAGTGCTTGTTTTATTAAACTTGGTTTTCTCGTTAGGGGCAGAGGATGGTAAATACATAAGACTGTGGGAAACAAAGGTCACTTTTCTTCCCATAGTGAAAAGCAGGCAATGCAGAATCTTAAACTGGGAGCAAAAAGGATAAGCTAGGAGAGAAAAATCAAGAAGTGCCAGAGCCTAGAAAATACTCGCAGCCAAGAGGCAGCGTCTTCACTGCAGATTTAGTTCCAGTTGTTATCTGGGTGTAATCCCTAATCCCTCCCTGTCTCCACACTGCCTGCTCACCTGGATGGTTGCAACAACAGCCCAACTGAAGTAATGGTTTCATTGCCCAGTTCTACTTTCATGAAGAATAGTAATCTACCTATTTTGCCAGGAACATGGAGGGTATATCAACTGAATACTGTTAGTTCTACAGGACCCTCCATGTGCCCAGAAGGACAGAAATGTTCACCCATAATTCACAGAAAAAGAATTCTAGAGTTCATTGCAGCACATATAGCTATAGCCTATTCCAGAAAACCAACACTAGTTCACATAGGAGAGAGAGAACCACCACGAGACAGACATGTGTGATACTTTACAGTGTGATAGTTAACACCCAGAACTGGACCAGAGCACCTGTCATCAGGATGAAATGCATTAAAGATATATCCTGAAAGCATGAAAAGAAATAGAACAATCAGGATTAGAGTGATAGCATAATCCTTATTTTCATCCATTCATTTCATTATATAAATTCACTGCCTGAGTAGGAGCAAAGGAAGAAGTCAATAGACAAAAAAAAAAAAAAAAAA